GGTCACAAAACTACCCCGTAGTTTCATTACTTACTTTATGCAGAAAAAAGTAGTAACTTGAAACAGTAATCCCAACATTCACAAAGTTAACATATTTCACTGGGAATAAGTTCTCATACCCCGACAGCCTCTTAAAACCACGTCGCCGACTTCATATAGGAGCATTCAACGTCAGGACCCTCTGCCAAATCAGACCACAGACATCACTATTAAGAACTCTGGCATCTCATTCCATGGATGTGTGTTGTGTTTCGGAGACACGCATACAAGGCCTGAGTGTAGTCATTCACCTAACCCCAGCTGGCCAACCAGGTGAATCTGAAAATTCACTTTAAGGGTGCCAGGCGACTCAGCTAGTTCGCGAGGACTCGCAGGTGTAGGGATAGCATTGAGTGTTAGGGTAGGAAGATCACTTCTTGACTGGATCCCAGTAGATAGTCGTATGTGTGCGGTCCATCTGAACGGGTCTGTTATAAGAAAGAAGTTACGATGGAGTTACCCGTCATTGTCTTTTCATAGTCTCCGCTTACGCCCCAACAGACTGCAGTTCGGATGAACTAAAAGATGACTTCTACCTGAAACTGTCTAATGTGCTGCAGAAAGCAAAACGTTCAGATATAGTTGATTTGGCGGACAACTTTAATGCCCAAGTAGGGAAGTTGTGCCAGACTGAGAAGTATGTAGGTGGTACGTATGGAGTTCCCTGCCGACGAACCGACAACGGTGATTGTCTTCTGCAGTTCTGTTTGGATAATCATCTGTTCCTGGTCAGCACTAACCTCAGGCACAAAGAGAGACACTACGTAATCTGGAGACCTCCATCACCAAAGCAACGCTGGACTCAGATAGACCACATAGCGATAGGGTATTGTTGGCGAGGGTTAGTGGAAGACTTCCGCTCCTTATGGAACACATGCATAGACTCTGATCACGCCCTAGTTCGCGCACATTTATGCTCACGAATAAATGGACACAAAAAGTAATGCCGAGGAAATACATTGCACTAATCAAGGCACTCTCCTCGAGTACATGCAGCTGGGTGAGAGCTTACGGAGAGTTGCCATCTGAAGTGGTGACAACTAGTGGTGTCCGACAGGGATGCCCACTATCCCCATTTCTATTCAATTTCATCATAGACGTACTAATGGAATTAACCCTAACTCACTTCAGCGACCCAGAGATTGACTTGTTACCAGGTTATAACCTCGCTGACTTAGAATATGCAGATGATATAATCCCCCTATCTGGGTGAAGACGCTGACGAAATACAGAGTCTTCTGAACACCTTGAGCTACAACATGTGAATGTTTGGCATGCGATTCGCTCCCGCTAAGCGTAAGACGATGCTACAGGACTGGACGACACGGACTCCTAGCTTAGAAATAAGGAGTGAAGTGGTTGGTGGAGCGTGTTGACGATTTCACTAAATGACGTGTGTACTGCTCAGCCGTCTGCTCCTTCCTCCTTTATAGCTGTGGGATGTAGCTTTTGAGAGTGGAAGACATGAAAAGGTCGGCTAGCTGTCTTTGGTCATAGGTGCCTGCGTTCTATCTCCCACCTCAGACGTATAGTAGGGTGAGCAATATTGAGGTTAGACTTCCATCGAGTGCTAGGCAGGGAGGGGAAATCAATAGGCGAGGCTGTGAACCATCGACTGAGATGGTCAGGACATGTGTTACGTATGCCTGGCCATCGCCTTCCTCGACGGGTGATATTAGCTGACATAGGATCAGGCTGGAAAAGAGCCAGTGGTGGTCAAACCAAAACATAGCCTCATCAGTCAATGAAATCCACAACAGTTAGTTCAAGCCACGTAGGAAGGTGTAGACTTCTTGGTTGAGGTTTTCGGGACGGTAGAAACCAATGAAGGCTGGAGACAATTGTTGATATGGCTCAAAACAGTTCTCAGTGGCTCAGATGCATCCACTCCTTGTGACTTATAATACCCAACGAAACTATATTGTTCTTCGATAATACTACTCTTTTTGCCTCATATCCCCGTTTACTGTCTATATTTTGCATTTCTTTTTACTTTCTTCTTCTTCTCTGGCCTTTTGTGCTGAGTGAAGTGTGGTGACTCGAACTGCTGCACACCGGTGCAAAGTTCTATGTTGAAACCAGTCAGTCAGTGTCACAAGCATTGCCAGTGAAGTTTTATTCTCCATGTCCAATGGAGGTTTTCTTAACCCCCAGTGTAAAGTTTTGAGGTCATTATATGATCTGAGAAACAGCTTCTAACCTGATAGATCTTGATAGCATGTATATTCCCATCAGGTGAATGCCAGATCTGGTACAAGAACAGATTTTCTTGGTAGTCATGTAAATTTAATCGGAATCTGTCCTGCTGAAGTTATTGTGTGACAGATGAGAATAATTCACAGTTTAGCCCGTCATCTTCGTTAGATTTTTATGCTACTTTTTCAGTTAATTACATGGTGTGAAACATAAGCTTCTAAAGGCTGTTTACTACTTCGAAAAAATTAATCTTCAGAAAGCCCCTCAGTGTATGTCAGTGATGTTACTGGCAGGAATTTCCTCTCATTAAGTTTTGTATATATTCTTCAAATCACAGAAAGCATCTACATCTGATATCAGAAGTAGATGTTTTACAATGAAATGTTTTAAGGAATGAAGCTTAAGATGGTGATTTTAAGGCTGCGTTTTACTCCATTTACAGCTAACCTGAGTATTTGGTTTCTCATACAGAAACAGAATATTTATGTAGCATCAAGAATCCTGCACACTGGGGAAAATAATATGGTTTTTAAGTCATCAATGTTTGTATGTACTGCTAAACAAACGTGTCCATATGGAAGTCATATTTACTATACTTCAAATATCTGCAGCATGCTAATTATAATATTTGGTCATTTATATCACATTGATGTATTTGTATACCATAGTAAGAATTAAACATAGATTCCACAGTTCATTTTTAATTTGAGAGGAGAAATTCCGTTTTTCCTTATTTTCTGAGGTATGGAACAATTGATATTGGCAAGGTGCAGTGTCGAACTAAGAGATATTAGGTGTTTAAAATTGTTGAGAAATCTTGTTAACCTAAACATTCATTGCACTGATTTCACAAAATCTGTCCGAAAAGCTAGCATTGACTTTCAGACCAGAAGAGTATTTGTAGATCAGGAGATCTCTCATTTAAACAGTCAAACACCTAATCGGCATGTTCATTTCAATATAAAGAAAGAACAACAAGAATGAGCATCTGTGGCATACATCTTTTGTTGTAGTTACTTTGGATTCCAAGCCGGCTTGATCTTCTAAACAACTTTAAAAGTTGGAGTAGGGTGCTGTAATGAGTACTGCAAACTTTCTCAGGATTCTTTTCACCTCTACAGATCACCAAAATACCTTAAAATTTAAAGACCCAAATGCATCTTTCGGATTTAGAACAATGGAAATTGTGTAATGCTAATATATTTGCTCTCCAGAACCCGTCAAATGATGGAGATATGATTAGTATACCTTCATACAGACGTGATGTCTGCATCATCTTTTTCATATCAAGATTCTGTAACCCTATGTTCTCATATTCTAAATTAGTCATGCTGATCATCCTCTTGTTCTATTATTTCAAATTTTTATTAAAACACGAACTTGGTAAATAATGTGTATCAAGAGATGCTTCACACGAAATTTCATAGTTTTTTTTTGAGAACTGTGATACTGCCCGGACACGCAGACCGAAACAGGTAGTTGCCCTAAGAGGCGGCTCTCTTAGCTTTTGACTTAAAGTCTGATTCACATGACAGTGGAGCAGCGTCATGAGCTTCGTTCTAACGGTTGCCGTGACCAAAACAGGTTCAGATGCCCTTCTAGCCTTCCTGATTCTGGAGCCCATGAACACTATACTTTTGGGATCGGCGTTTTCCAACTTTCCCAGGTAGACCAGCATTTCCGCGAATTCGGTTGTGGGCGTCGGACATTCGCATTCATCCTTTCACTTTGGTGGGTAACAGTCCCACTACATGAAGGCACTGAATAGGACTTACCTCGTTCAAGAGAGACGATTTATCTCATTACCTTCTTAACTCGTATAATCAAAGATCTACACTAATTCGACACAAGTATCTCTGACTCCCATATACTGAATACATTATAGTCATCGTAGTTGTTAATTTCTATCAAAAATTACTATCCAGAAAATAATTCTGGAGTCAAACTGTCGCATTCCACCTCTCAGGTTTTGCAACAGTAACTTCACTGGAAGACTGGTGACTATGTAGTACTCAGATTAGAGTTTGATAATAGAAAGGTTTAGTGTGGGTGCAGGTAGACTCCATGAGGTATTCTCAACAACGTTTTATCCGTCTGTTCTTCAGATATATTTTCCTTCCAACTGATAGCCTCATTAACGATCTTAGACAGGCATTATTTAATAATCAGGTGTTTCCGACTTCTCAGGCTTTCATCAGAAAACTCTCAATAGGCCACACTGATCACATTATATATATATATATATATATATATACATATATATATAGCTGTGTCACTACGATCTGTCTACTGAGACGTAGTGGTCAAATGAGGGGCATATTTCTTTTTAGCGTATTTCATTAAAATTTAAGAGAAAGCAGACAGTGAAATATTGACTGAGATACGTAGATGTATACCACTAATATCACCCAGTGTGTAAACCACTGTATAAATTGCAAAATACTTTCGAAATTATGAATTTGAGAACGTAGTCAGTTGTATGCTGTTTTGTTTTATTGTAAGACGAGCTAAATATATATTGATAATGAAAATTATTACAACAATAATGATTTAGAGATCGTGTTTGTAACAAGCGTGAAAAAATATCTAAAATTGTCAGGAAATTACTTATTTTCTCTGTTTACACACAATAAAGTTAATTATTAAAAAAGGAACTTTCGGATCAAGAAATTGTTTGTACTTATGCTTGTCGAAGTCAGATAACCAACAGCCATAGAAACAGGGACAACAATTTCATAACATCTGGAACTTTTGACAACTAACTGAAGGATACGTCTAAATTTTCATTTTTAAGTAGACAAAATTCAACTACTTCCTTATGTCTTCAACAGGACTTTTGTTGATGACTCACCTTCTGGGTAAGCTGCCAAGCCAGAATTCTGAAATAAAAGTTAAAGATTTTTATGGAGATCTTTTAAGAATATCTAAAGTAATATCCAGGTAGGAGTGTACTAAACAGTAAAATAAACTAAAGATACTGACTAGTATGAAACTGAAGACTCCGATAATCAGCAAAACTAGTATAGCGTTTAGTTTCCATCTGGATATCCCTTTTTATAAGGTGTAAGTATGTAAAACTGAAAACAGTTTTAGGGCAAGTAATGTATACCTATGTAAGTTAAACAATATCCATGTAGTCAGGGAAAATATAATATCCAATACTTAACAATAAAAGAATCAATCAAATACTGTCACGCTTTTAAAGTGCAGTCATCCTATACAGGCAAATACAACAGCAAAATCTGATACATTTAGTCGATTAAAATTTGACATTTTACAAATTTAAATTGATGAAATGGAAGGAAACTCTAAAACATAATTCAAAGCTATCAGCAAGTTAATGTGTTACCATGTTATACTGTGAACTTTATCTAAAGGATTTTTTTAATTATGAAGGAAAAAACAGAGTACTGTAAATCCTTCTGTGATTAATGTATACAAAGTTGTCATCACTGTAGATAATGAATGTAGTGTTATTTCATGTTGGTGTGAATGTGGCGAGAGCTGGCTGCTAGCCAAAGTTGGTAGACAGTAATTGACGTCAATGTTTATGTCTCCAATATTGGTGGTGAGAAAATTAGAACAAAGGCTTTGCGTAGGCGGATGCAGTTAGCATATGGATGAACTGACACAGCCACAAAGAGATGCAAGGTTAACTTTCTGTGAGAAACAACCAATCAAAAGACTGTATTTTCTACTAACAATAATCTACGATAATGTACATTAAAATCTAAAATATGTGTTGATTTTGCTTAATAAACGATCTGTTGCCTGGCCCATGTCTTCTGTTGTTACATGTATACCGAATTATTTGAGAACATTTTCAAGTGTCGGTTTGCTGGGATCTGATAAATTTGAAGTTTCATCACGAACTGATTGTAGTTAGAGAACCAGTGAAAATCATTTACTACTGGATAAGTGTTAGGATCTATGCCGAAATACATATCCATGACCCCAGAGAGGATTCAAGATGGAAACTTCATGTTAAGTGTCAAACCTGTTGACATTTCAGCCACTGGGAATTAGAACACAAGTGTGTCGTGTTATACCCACTAATTATAACTTTTTAAAACAAGCAATAAAGGTTAATAAAGCAGGATTTAATGAATTCATCAAATTTCGGTAGAACTCCCAATGTAATTTCAAAAGTATATATATCCGTGTGTGTAGAGTATTCAGCTGACGAGTTCTACCGAAATTCGATGAATTCATTAAATCCTGCTTTATTAACCTTTATTGCTTGTTTTAAATTCGTATCGGGAAATAAATGTTTCCAATTCTTGAAGAAGCGTCTCCCGGAAAGCACTATCAATGCACTAAATGATCTAGTGAAATTGAGGTGTAGGATTGCTAAACACTCTGCGCGATGCGATTTTCTGAAGGAATGTATCCAGACTAATATTTATCCTTGGACATTTTACAAATCCTCGCGTAAAGATCATTTGAGATCTACACGGCCAAATCTTTACCGTCTTGCTGAATCCCGTTTTTCTTCTGAAACAGAAGAAATCAGTAATTTATGCGTATTATCAAGCAAACTAATCAGTGTACAAAATGACTTAAACTTCGTATGTTATCTTAACTTCACTAAATATCTACATGCCGCTGCTAAAAAGACAAAAGAATCAGAAGAAAAGAAACTGAAAAAGTCACTTCATCCGGAACCGCCAAATGAAATTTTCCCAGTGGATATATCTAATTATTTTCACAATTTATCTGATGTTTGGCTATCAAAATAACAAGCAGAAATTCTGTCAACTTCTGTGTTCCCATGAAAAACATAAAGCAAATTGACATCGAATGCCAATTCGAAAATCTTTATGACCAACTTATGGGGCTACATGCTACGTCCAACGACAGTGAAAGCTGGTTGAAAGCAAAGATGGTTGATATTGCTCACCAATTTCGAATCATGCCAACCAAACAAAAGTCGCAGATCACCAAAGAACACTGGAGATCACTAAACAAGCTCCGAAAAGACAATAATCTTGTTATTCATCGTTCCTCAGCATGGGGTTATTTTTGCGTTGTCAAGTAGGCCAATTGGTAAAGATAATAAAACCAGATGTAGATTGTTGGATATATCAGGCCACAAAATTGATTTTGACAATACTGAAATAATCCAGAAAAATTTCAGATATCACAAAGAACGTCTAATATCAGAAGCACTTCATATCAAATGGAATCCAAATTGTCTGAATAGGAATGATGAACTAAAACAGAATTTGACCTGGTTACAACACCTCCCTCCCCTATGTAATGACAAGATCAACACGAATGTGATAAGTAATTTCATTATTTAAACACATGCCGCTTTTATAATTTTACACACTTATCAAATCCATCAATCTATGCCAATTGGCCAATTTGACAATGCAAAAATAACCCCATGCTAAGGAACGATGATTAAGTTGTTATATATAAGCTGAAATTTTGTAAATTCTGACTTAACAATACTTTGATAAAGCTATTAGCATTAAATAGTGAAACATCAATAAAAACAATATCGTTTTGTTTTTCATTCATTGGGAACTACAAAAAACCTTTATTATAATGAATATCAGATACACAATGCCCAAATTTTTTCAAACTGTTAAAAGTGAACTTGGTTTGGACATATATACAAATTTCCACATAAACATTTCGTTGCCAAGTCTTCATCTTCTACCGTTTCAATATTATTACTCCTGTGATACCTTTGCTTATCAAAATAACGTTTCTTTACCTTCATATTTATACCTACCATAGTATAAGGCATACATAAGCACAAAAATTAGTTCTGAACTCACTGTCAGAATTACGTAGTCTGGATAAGGGAAATTGATTATGATTAGAAGTAGTATTGTTGGTGTTTGACTTTGTGTTTGTACCATATTGGTTTGCTGAATATGCGGAACATGTGACAACTGGGAGAATCTGAGGACTTATTGAATGTTGATTACCAGTAAGTGAGTATGTATTCTCTTGTTTACTTGTACTGGTTGTATTAGTCGATATAAGTGACTTTTTAAAAACATTCTGTTGAGACAAGCTTTGTAATGGTGAACGTGAGGAAAAGTATAAATGTCCATTAAAGCTGCGTGCATCATTCTGTTCGAAATGAGATTGTTCATGATTAAAGTCAAACATGTTTGGTGAAGGCATAACACCTATTGGATGTAGAACAGAGAAATGATGATTATGACTATGATGATAGTGATTGCTTAGGGAAGTCGAAATAGGCTGAGAAGTTGCATGACTAATATTCATTGGAAACTGTAGAGAAAATGTAGATCTTCTGTGATTAGGTGGTTGATAGTATCGTCGAGATTTTGAATCCCTAAAAAGAGGAAAATGACATGCGTATATTTAAATATGTCATCAAATTTACTGTCTGCCTAAAAGCGATATCCATTCTAATTTAGTCAAAAAAGTATCGCTTGATATTAGAAATATTTCAAAGGGGAGAATTTTGGGCAAAACGTCTTTTATTTATTATTTGAGGAAATTATAAAATCTTGTAAATATTCTTCTCTAATATTTCTAATTTGTAAATATATTTTCAGTGCTGTGTTTCTTATAAAGATGTATTACAAAGTTTAAATTCTTTGCATTCAAACATATGGTGAAAGTAAACACGTTTCGCACTGCATAAAATATAAACTAAGATCTCAGCCCATCGCTAATCAATTTCTTCTTTCAAAGTTTCCAGGCAACTCAAAACCATATTTTACTTATATTTCTTCGATACCTAACTTGGCGACTATTAACGCCGAATAACTGACAACAAAAACCAGCTTTCATGGTAACAGAATTAAGAACAATAAAATCACGACTCCATCATGCAGCAAACAATTCCGTTTCAGCATGTAGAAAATATTGAACAAATAAGATGATATGGAGTTACTGATAACCAAAATGCCCATACTACATTTTTATATTAATAAAAAGACCGTATACATTTGGTCAGAACTTCGTCGGTAACATCACTTGAATGCAGAAGAATTGGTAAAAGAAGAATTTTTCTCAGAAATGTGGTGTGTTCCAGGAATACACTTCGAACAAATTGATGGCACGCTCTCATAGTTAGCGAAATTCACAATAAAAGAATCAGACTAGTGTGACTGCATAATAATTTGTTTATTGTACATATTACACAATGAAATAGTATCATTTTGCTAGATGACATTTAGAACAATTTATTGTTCATAATCATGTCAACTTTGAAGTTGATGTAACATCAACATGCTATTCAATCCATTAAACCTATCCTATTTATGTTCTTAAGAAAGGCACTATATTTATTTCCTTCTAAAGCAACACTTTACATTTAAAATGACTCTATAAGAAACTCCAACAGCAAAAAAAAAAAATGAAATTCGATTCGAGTAAATATCTACCGTTTTGGGCTATCAGAATAAACTTTTAAATCTTTATAAAGTTCATAAACGTGAACTTAAATTGTCAAAAGAAGCTACACAAATCGATAACAACATAAAGAACGCGTAACAGTCAAATTTTGAGCTGTGGCTTTACAAGTTGAATAGTGGAATGTAATCCTGTCTAAGTTTTAACAATGTCTGAATCAAAACTTACTTAGAGGAATTACTTGCATTGGACGCGCTTGTTTGTGCCATCCATGATTGGAATGAGATGGATGTGGAAGCAGGAAAATTTGAAGATTGTAAAACAGGGCGAATATCGTGTTTACTATTAGTTTGATTATTCATCATTAATGGTGACAATGATGACACATTCATCCCTGAAGAGGGGTTATCAGAGTTGTGTACATTTACATCATCTGAAACAAGTGTCTTTTGAGGACTTTGATAAAATCCACGCAAATGTTGTGGGAAAATGTGATGACTACTGACCTGAGTAGACGTAAGATAAGGCAGAAGTTTATTTGAAGTTGTATCCTTTGAATGAGGTTCTTCACCCTTTGAATCCAATGGTTTGCGTGTACATGTTTTCGTAAGTACTGAAGAACAGTCTGACTGTTCATTATTAACCTCAGTAATCTGTATTAACATTGACAAAGATAAATAATTTTAATCACTGGTTTGTAATCAAAATTGGTTATTTTCGAGAATGCATTTACAGAATCCTCGAAAAACCTAGAATTCAACTGAAACTTCTCAAAATCGTTTGTATCAAAATCATCTTCATGATACAATAACACACAATTTTATTATTGTGTTTATGATATAATATGAGCATGTATCTAAGTCAAGACTCAACTTTTCATACTAAAATTAGTGCTTTCATATAATTTGTACAATATAAACTTAGTTAAGTACATTAAATGATGGAAGCTTGTGAAGAAAATTTGAATAAGCTCTGGATAACTGAATTTTCCATAACATGCAATTCTACAAATAATTTTGAGAAAGTGTGTAGTACAGGTGTTGAACTAAAAAAAGGAAATTCTATGTTAGTTACTAGAAATTCATACTTATCCTAAGTTTCTTGCTTGCTAGCCCTTATGATATTTGGTCTGAATTTCAAAACTATATTATATTTCTTAAGAAAAATATCAGCATTAAACATAAGCTGGGTATATGGTTGGTGTTGAGAGATATTTATTTTTTAGTTAAACACTTATTTTTGGTCAAAACCAGTGCATAACATCAATATGGAATGAATGATAAATTGAGATAGTGTTTGAAAACAGCTACTTGTGGTAAAAACCAATCGGCTCCTGCATAAACTGTGTAATATGTTCTGGAGAGCGAGGAGAATTTATTCAGTAGCATGTTCTCTGAATTCAGTTTATTGACTACTGATGCATTACTTATCATACTCAGTACAACTATAGTATAGGTTCTTTTTGAGGTAAACATACCCAAAAACAATAAGATTATTAGCAAGCCAAAAGTTTTTGATGAAGAACAAATTAAATATATAATTTAGAAAATGAAATCTAAATCAGTGACATAGTACATAGCTGAAACATTGGCTATTCGGGATCTGAAACCGGACCTCCGCATTCAAAAGCACCACATACATTCACTGGCCCTACCGAGACAAGAGTAAAGTTCGTTCTATAACTTTGCTTCTTTTTATTATGCAAGTTTATTATTATTATCATTTTATTACCATTATTATTCCCATTATCCATAATTTATTATCGCTCTATTACTGTTTATTAATAACACTGAGTTTTCATGCAGAACTTATCATCTTTCCACTAGTTTCTGTCCATTCTACACATTCTTATCGATTAGTCATTGTCTCACACTTATAACGACATGTCAACTTCTGCCTTTTTTCTAACCCACAATTAGTCATCCCATCTAGGTTACATCTTACGTTACGTAATGCCTTTTTGGGACAAATTTTAACAGTATCTAATTGGCCTTATAAATTCTTTGTTAAGTATAATTACGACTGTACAGCTGTTTACTTCTTTATCTCATGAGTGAATAGGGGAATATTTCGTTCATGATTATCGCGTTGTTGCCTAATCTTTTCAGCACTTGCTAATCTTATTATTTCTACACCTGTTTGAGATTTATAAATTTCATGAAATATTTTATAAAGCATATAACCAATTATTTTTTGTCAGAATTCAGTAACAACAGACGAATTGTAATCTTACCCGTATATGACATTTTCCAGATTGAGAACAATTGAAAGAATATCACTTAACATATTTTCATATGGGATTGTATCATGAGCTGACATTGGTTAAAGAACCATCAGAAAGCCTGGGAGTAGTGGACAGTCATTTCCTCCTACTTTAGGACTCCTCATCAGTACGCACCCACCAGTGTTTGAACCCAGGACCCTTCTGTTACAAGGCGAGCTCGTAGACCATTAAGCCACCGAGACCGTATAAAATGGCCCATGAATTCCAACTACTGCCAATTCATGGTATAGCGCGACCAGTAGCCAATGTGATTGACGACTATTTGTCCTCACACTCGGCCTGGTGCACCACACTGGTCACGACTTCCCACAAGAACCAACGTGACTACCTTCCTGAATAGGTCCTAAATTTAAACCACTGTGAGTGCGTACAAGTACGAAACAGTTGTCCAGTACTCTCAGGTTTCCCCATGGTTCTCTAACTGATGTCAGCTTGTGGTCAATCATGTAACCAATCGAATCCTTGCGAACCAACAATTGAATGTTGATCTGATGCTGGCCCCTTTGAGGTAGGTAGTTACCTGTGTGTGAGGACAAATACTTGCCGATGACATTGGCTAGTGGTCGCTCTATATAGTGAATATATTTGTATAAGTGAAAATGGTTACCACTGCCCTAAATTCTGCACCATGTAATCTCAGATGCAGAACTAGCTGAACTTGGGAAAAATATCTGTATATTTATTCTGAAACAATCAACAATTTCACATCCACGTATTTAAAACAGGATATTTTAACAGTTGTACAATCTTACTTGAGTAAACAACTGTCTTCGAAAACTACTCATTGAAAATTAAAAATATAAATTGACTACTCAACGGTAGCTTTTGTAAAAACTGTAAAGATGAAAATTTATTAAAATATTTCACATAATTTATGATTATCACTCACAGACTCATACATCTTAAAACACAAACCTTATGCCTAATTATCAATTACTGCATCTGGTGCAGATAGTGTTTGAATTAGCGTCTCGCTCGACAGCTAAAAGTTACTAGGTGTATATAATAAACAAATATCTCATAAGTGAACTGTGAAGCTTTCATAATTTTATCACTATTTAGAATAAACATATGGGTTAATTTAAACAAAAATTTTCATATTTGAAAAGCTAAATCCAACATAAATGAACATATGAATACAAGAACTACCATAAAATGTTGAGAGCCTACTATAGATTAAACTGCCAGTCCCTGTAGTTCAGGATTTTTAAAAATCTTTTGTCTAATGCAACTGCTTGATACAATTGATTCGGCTATATAAGCTGAGTCAAACTGGGTACAGCGCTGATGCGTTCAGCCTCAAACAAGTTAAAAGCTGTCTGACGTTTAAGTCAAGCAAGCACTATTCGTATAAGTTAACTGGTAGTATAAGGCACCGTACAACTTGGCACATCTTACATCACTGAACACTTTTATACGTAATAGGCAGAATTAAAATAAAACTGTGTCAATCTTTTCAGATAAGAACTATTATTGAAGTCAAAAGTCTGCATGCATTTTCTGTCAATTGAGAAACGAAATAAAGCATAAGGTACACAGGGTAGGAAACAGCTGGGCTCTAGCTCATCGCGTATCCCTATTATTTATAGGTCAACTCTTTAACTTACTCCTTTTATGGTTGTATCGCGTTTTACTGAACCTAGATCTTTCTCTGCCTGCAATTATGATTAACCTTCCAAGCTGGTCTAAGGATTATAACTTTTTAATGAGTTGACTATACTGTAGAAACAATACGTCCACTTAAAATATATTTCTAGAAGTAATTCAAATGTCTCGCCGATGCATATTTGACTGATAATACGCTTCATTTTGGCTTGAATTCGTTGCTGATTTTCCAGTCAGTCACAGTAAATTAAGTATACATCCCTAAAAACATAAAGACGAATATGTTTTCTGAAACTTCAACAGATATCATTTCATGTGCTATTATGATTAAAAATAAGTATAATTGGGTTGAAAAGTTTCTCTTGAGAATAAGTCATAGCAGTCACTAAGATAACAGATGTAATCTACGTGTTTTCTATTTTTGAAAACTGGATAGAATGAATGTTATCCTTTAAATTTGCGAATATTTTTTGAAAAAAATTATTTCAATTGTACGCTAAACTACTCAAGAGACAATGGGGATGAATAGTGTTCTCGCAACAGAATAAAATTAGTCAGTCACAACATTATGAATTTTGAATTTCAGAAAAAAAGTCTGCCAAACGGATCTGTTCATGTATGCACATATTTCTATGTGTGAGTAATGTTTCACTCGTTAAAAAATCTACACAAGACAGCTAACAAACCTTATTAATGAAACCACCGACAAATAAAGGTTGATTAACAGAATTGCCTGATGATTGTTCATTATTTACTACGAAATTGTCTTGTAGCGGTGATAATGACAGTGTGGTAGCAGAAGTCTTCTCATCCAAAGGTTCACGTGATTCCTCCAATGTGCAAGGTACAGTTACTGAATTCACTGATTTTGGACTTTGACATTTGATAGTTGTCAATAAACCAAAAGATTTCTGATATAAAAATAAAGGTGAAATCAAACTATAAGATAAGAGTGTTATTTTAAGAGGTGATCACTCAAACATAGACTTCAAGGAAAGGTTGAAGCAGTGCGAATTTCACACGAAATATGTGGAACTGAAATGAAAATACATTATGCTTATAAGTAGTAATTAAATTATGTTATTAAGATAAGACCTACAAACACGAAAACCTATATTCATTTACAGTGACTAGAAGTTTAAGTATTGTATTCAAGCATGAAATTAATTTGCTCAAACACAAGTCAGCAGGATTTATTGTTTAGTAGTAATAGAAAATAATAACTTTTTTTCATGATAATTTATCGTATTAAATATTAATAATCTCAACATTAATATTTGAAACTGTTTTAAGTACAGCATAGTAAAATACCATGAAAATGACTGACTGTCTACGTCTGTAGTTGCTAATTTCGGAACAAATGATTTTTAGAATAAGAAACTTATTACCCAGTATAACCAGAGTGTAAATTCATATTAATTTGATTCCATTATGGATAAAATTTATTTTGATTGTCACACAGCGTTGTACAGTAATGTTTAATGACGACGTTTCGAGCACAATTTATTGCTCATAATCATGTCAAAGTACTCGCATAACTTTCTTACTTCGTTTAAATACATGAGTAAAAATTGATTAGACATATGAATAAAATTAATATAAGACATGCGTGAAACAGAATGGAAGATGAAATACATTCGGAAACATTAGTGTTATCAATAAAATATAAATGAATGGGTAATAAGACGAGTATCGTTGGTCAATAAGATGTTTTCTGAGCAAAATAAATAATTTGTTAGAGTGTTACAATGTGAACTGAAATAAATTTCAACATTATTTATTGTCCTTTGATTCGACTGCTGATAATATCTTCCATATCTCCGGTATTTGCGTTGAGTCACTTCTAATGCATGTTTTGAGTGAAGACTCGATGAACCAGGATTCAGTAATCAATTTCTCCACCTAACTATATTACTTTTTACAATTTTGACTCTGTCCCACCCTATTGTGTGGTTGTATGTTAATGCATGCAGTGCGATTGCTGAGTTTTTTTCCAAATTACTTATCTTCGCCGGGTCAATCATTCTAACCTTAGCTAAATTCTTATGTTCTGATAATCTGACTATTCCCCATCTACCAGTTTGACCTATGTAGTTGACTTAACCCACAGTCATTGCAAGCTATTTTGTAAATTATATTTTGTTTAACGAGGCATGGAAGTTGTGTGAGTATATTGATATGATTATGGGCAATAAATTGTGCTCTAAACTTCATCAGTAAATATCACTGTATAACACTGTATAACTTAATCAAAATAAATTTTATTCATAGTGGAATTATACTCTACCACAGTGCCAAAGTTTCACCCCTGTATCATATTAATTTAACTAGTTATGTATTTTGTGTGTAAACAGTAGGTCACTGAATGTTCGCTGATGGTATCAACAGGTAACCAGCGAATAAGAGAAAAGAATGCAATCATATAAAGTAGGCTGGGAAGTTTCGTGAATACTCTGATATGATTCCAAATTTTACTTACATCACGGCAACAGAAAACCAGTGTACTCTGATAACAAACAGCTGATTCGAATGTGTTCTCAGTGTTTGAAATATTGGCAGTTTTATTTATTGGAAAAATTTGATGACTGTAATGTTAGGATTCACTAAGTGAAACATAGATCTAATAATAGAGAAGCATTCCTGTTTGGCAATTTTGCCATCTTAACTTAAGAAAGTTATGCTTGTGTCAAGCTATCCGAAATGTTTGGTTGCTCCAAGTTTTACACTTATATCAACTTAAAAGTCTTAGTTTCTTCAGTGGTATCCATAAAATGCTGAATTTAATTGGAAACTCTTTTATTTAGTCCCTTGACAACAAAAACGTGCAACTCACCTGTGGTATAGAAGGCATCTCGTTTGATCGATCATTTGATTTTTCTGACATTAGTACTGCTCCTTTAGAATCTGGATCATCATTCTTATCTAACACTTTGTTTGTTCCATGATATAAATCTTTCGAATCTATCAAATGCTTGAAATAAGACATAATTTGAATTGTTGATGGTTTATGAGTATAGATAGTAGAGTTCGTAACAATATCACCAAAAGCTAGTACATATTTGACGACCGATGACCGAGGAATGAGAGTCAACAGTACTGCTCACTTTCTAGAATATGTGAGGAGGACTTAAGTTATATCTATGTGCTGCCACATCTGGAGGATGAAAGTAACAAATTAGTCTGGTGATTCAACCAAGTATAAAATGAAGTCATTGTGAAATATTCAAGGTGGAAAATTTCACGTTACTGGTTTAAAATCAACTGGATGTTTCAAAAAAAACTGTACTACCTGTAAAGTGTGACTAAGTATCGTTGATCTGAGCACAGTTTGAGTAACGTTAAGTTTCTCGAAAAATTTGTTAACATTTTGTAATGAAAATTTTTACAAATTATTGCATACAGTGTGACATATTTAAATGATATAACTTGGCATTTGAAGAGAAACAGTTTATAAGCTGAAAATTTACTTCAAATTCTTATCACTCTAGCACGTCTGTTAACAGGGTGTAATCATGTTACACTGCGAAATTCACTCTCACTTACTACAATATAAAGAATAAAATGCAGTCTTCCATCTAATTATATGAACTTATTTTTGTCTAGCAGGTCACACAGCATGTTTCTTCCGCTTGAGTCAAGGCAAATTCATTTATTTGAAATACGAGTTTTGAAGTATCGTTTTAAGACAGAAGACTGGTGATTACTATGTCATAACACTTTAATGATGCAACATGTCAACAAATTGCATTACAGGGTAATGAAAGGAAACTTATGCCAGAACGAAGTTCAGACTAGAACTGAAAGTTGATTATAAAAGATTTAACCATAAATAAAGTAAAACGTTTTGAGTTAGAAGAATATTTATTTTTTTGGAAATTCATTGCAAATATCAAAAATGTCCGACCTAGTCAATTCATCACTTCTACACACTAATATTTTACTATGCATTGATGATTCACTGGTAAAATACTCTCCAACCACACAAATGTGGTCCTGATTTGACTCCCGGCCGAAACACAACTAACTGGTCCTAAATCTAGTAAAGAGGGAAGGTTAGGCGTGAGGCTAGAAACCGTACCCCATAAAAAAGCAATAAAACTATCACTACTGAAACTTCACAGATCAATGCTCGAAACCCTATGTTCCACTAGGAACTCAAAGGAATGAACAAAATGTCTACTGTGATACAGACGAGTGGAGATATGTATGCGTAATACAACAACTAATACCTAAAGGTTTAGGAAGAGGACATATCACATAAGTGCAATTTTTTCTCTAATTAAAAAATTCACATTAAGATAATTTAAAAACATGATTTCAGAAAGCAAATTCGTGATTAGTAATAATAACAAATTGTAAAAATGAGATTAAAATATGCCACTGTAACACATTATGATATTAATAATAGAGTTAGCAGTGCAAATAAAAAATAAAAATAGTATTTACAGTTATTCAGTGTCACTGGATGGGAGGGGGGTTGAAGGACATAGGCAGGAGAGGGATTGGACAAACTTTTGATGAACACAAAGAATGGGCTGAAAACTTTTTATAGAGACTGCCTCAGCTATGCTTAGTAATCGAAGGCGTAAAAACTTAGGGAATTGAGGTGGTATATATATATATATATATATATGCGACCACTGAATTACTGGCATCGAAAATCAGAAAAATAATAGCCGAAACATTTTTCACGTCAACACTATGTTTAAAATTCAGCACTCATTGTATAGTTCTAAAGCAGGTGAAGGATGAATCACCGAGTAAATAATTCTGAATAGTTGTAAGGTGTTCGTTTGCCAATTTGAACTTAACGTGTGATCTAAATAACTTAAACTTCCTAACTAAAAAGCAGAAACAATGATGCAATGATGTTATATTGTCGACACATTCAAGAGACAGTAGCAAAAGACTAGCTTATTGTAACATTTTTTTTCAGAGAAATGGTTCTCACCGAATTCATTTTAAAGACGTATTTGCAACAAGACTAAGAATGATGTTAGAAGAAAAGTGCTCGATAGGACCAACTCAATTTGGAATTATGACTGAACACGTTTTAGGGAATCTGAATAAATGTTTTACCTAAATCTTACGGTTATTATTATTATTTTTTGGGAGATATTTGATTCAATAATATTAATACGAATTTTCCACCTAATAGAACAAGGCAAATACATAGTGACTAAATGTCAACCTCATAAATGTACTGCATATCTCAGAATTGTAAAATATATTAGCATGAACAAATCATAATATTTGACCACACCCTAAGCTGTAAGAAGTAGATAAAAATCAGTGTTTTCGACCATATTCCATCTTATAATGCACGACAGGGCTCAGTAACGCCATATCACTTAGTTTACTGACAACATCGAATAACTGATCAATTAACTTAGACAATAACATGCAGAACAGTATGGCTGCAATGATCGCCGTTTGGAGAATGCAACATATTAAACGGAATTAAAGGTAACAGTAGATGCTTAAAAACTGCAAACAACTGGGAATCATATTTGCGTATATATATATATATATGGATAAAAGATACTTCAAGAGTTTGTATCGAGCTTTGACCTTTTTAGTTTAGTTTGCATCATAAATCAATAACTGTTGGAAAATCAGCAAAAGACACAGAAAGCTGAACAGCTTTTTCTACTTAGATTCGGATATTTTATAAGTTCGTATCATGGGACTAGGCGGCCTGCTTAAAAGTTGAGCTGAGAAGAAAGTCCGTAATTTTTCTCTTTGACTTTGTTTAAATCTAATGAAATATGACTTCTAATAGTATTACTTATTCTGGTGAGTATTTAAAAAGTTTACAATCTGCTTATTCGCAAGTTTCTACTAAACATGAGGAAAGGTATAATCTTGGATGGCAACGTCACTTAATACATGAGATAACTGTTCATGAATTGTGTCTTTGGTTTTCTAAATGTACTCCTGAACGTTTTATAACTGGTCATGTATTTGTCGAAGGAGACAAAGAAGAGATATCATAATCGATTGGCTTACGCTTCAAGTCAAATAGAAATGTGTCACGCAATCTTCTGTCAGTTAGTATTTTCTTTGAAGATCCTGGACGAAGAAAAATATCACGCAATAAACTCCGCTGAAAATTTTGTACAGTATATAAACACCTGTTCAGGGTAAAGCTGCTATCATTATTGTTATTAATAATGAATTATTAGTAATAATAATTGATGAATTGTTACAAAATAGAACTTGCACTTAAGACGTTGACCAAAAGAACTACGAAATCTCAGCAATTAAACCAACCAGCTCAGGGGACACATTTAATTGTAAATAAACACAAGATATTGATGTTTAATTTCTGATACATATTTATTCATTACCGGGTGGGAATTCAATTAAACCTAATTTTAGGTTTGTGAAACGTTTTGGCGTCACACAGTTGCTACTTCTATGTAGTTTTAACTGTCTTAGTAAAAAGGATTTTATTGCAGTAGGTGCTTATCTCTCAACCTTTGATTGCACCAGAACTATTTAATAAACGTATGCATACATGAGAAAGAAACCTAGCCAGTCGAAGCTTAATTGTGAAATTTATAAACCTTGCAACATATACTGATTTAATGTTATCAGATGAATCATTTATGAAATAATCAAATGTAAAATTGACACAAATGACATAAACGAACTTGTGGATCGACATTTTCGTCAACTACTGAATATTCTTGTATTAAATTGGAGTTGATGTCAAGATTTGGTTTGGCATGTTCGACCATGAGAAATTTAGTTGCGTTGTTGTCTGATTGGGCTTTACTAAGGTTATTCGGATTTCCAGAAGGGTTGTCAATACAACTTTTCTGTGATTTATTTTTCTATACAAAAAACCGTAGGACAAATATAGACAAAGCAGTGTTATGTTAGATAAGATGATGTAGCCTGCTTGAAAAGCTGGCTATAGTTCAAAATTAACAGAGGAAATGAATATTAACAACCAAAATATAGTAAAAAGATGATGAGAGGAAGAAGTTAAGTAGGAAACCGTCAAAGCAAACGATTGAAGACTCAGAGAAGGAACTGTAAAGCATGTGACAAATATACACAAGAACAGATGATCAGGCATTTGGACACAAGCTTATTGCTCCGTATTTCGGGACAGCGTATTGGACAATATACAAATCCAGGGATAGCTTGAATCCTGATATTCCATAAATCTGGAGTTGTAAAAGTTGGATAAGATGGACAGAAATAATTATAGAACCACGAATTTACGTTATTAATTTTTCTCTCCACGTCACCAAATTCTTATCATTTAGACTGCTTCCCTCTCATACGCTTTGTATCTGTGTGATTTAAAGAGTTTAGAAATCCCACTTGTCTCAACTAACCTTTGTGAGCTTTTAAGTTATATTTTTTACTGATTCAAAGACTTATCGTGCACAGTTTGTTAATCATACATTATTTTGGAAGGTAACTCAAACTCATGAAGGATTTTGATTTGTTTGATATCTTCCCTCTAGTTACATACCAGAAGTGATGCGGGTCTTTTAGATCAATGGCTGCTGATCAGAGAAGTTAGAAGAAGTAAGGGCTAGGGTCTATTTGGTAACCCAAATCTGCGACAGGAAACATTTGGTGAAATAACTCGAAATTAGTTGAAATGCTCCCGAAAAATTATTTATAACAAAACTATCTATTTTATATGAGACTACAGAAAGATATTCCATGAAGTGACAAAATAATACATTATGTAAATGCCTAACGAATACGCTGTGCTGCTACAAGGAGACTATTTCAAATTTTGGGATTCACAACTTAATCTTTTTGTTGATTGTTGATTTCTAAGTTACCGTAAAATGTAATGCAGAATATTAGCCCAATAAATTCACACATGAATGTTTATTTAACGCTTCTTTTCATTCCTAAAGCGATTACCTTACTGGCTTTAACACTTTAACTGCTGCCAGTAGCTGTCGAATACCGCTTTACCTACCTAAATCTAAACCAAACAATGTTATCGTCGTAGGATAGCTGTGTCTCACACAATGATACTGGAGAAATATGTTCTGGATAACCAAACTCTAACTAACACTAGTAAGAAAAGTCATCTGATTTCATGTTGTGATGGAATGATTCTGTGTTTACGTTGTAACAATAGCAGTGATTAAAGTTTGTATGTAACTTTAAAAACTTAAAAGATAAACATTTGTTCGCCTCTTCAAAATGTCAACATTTTCACTGTGTATTATGAGATTGTCAGCACTGTTAACAACGCTAGAGAGTTTAGTTTTCTGTTTTGGCGTAGTTCGCTCATTGTGTTCCTCAGAAATAATTACAACCATGTAGCTCAACAGCCAATATATATTCTTACTTGTTCTTTTATCCGTAAAGATACATTCAGTTTCTGCAGTTTTTAAGTTTGCGTATTTGTGAGTGAAGTAGGTGCTTTGATGTTCTGAAAGCAGACTACTGAGTAAAATAATTTTATTCCTTATTCAATCATCCTGCAGAAGTAGTATTCTTTCAAATGCTCAAGGAAAATTATCACTTAGCTTCAGTAGAACTGATTCATGTATTAAGTTGATAGTTAAGCAGCTACAAAATTATTCTCTCTTATTTATTATATTTGAATATGGAACACAAAAAGTCTACTCACTTCATTAATTTCAGTAGTCTCTTGATGAACCTGTTGAAGCAGTGTTACATCCTCTGTTAATTTCTCCATATTTGGCTTCTTCGTATTGGATGTATCTGTACTATACAATTTAGAAGTAGTACCCATTGCGTTTACTGAATTATTACTATTATTGTTGTTGCTTGTACTGAGATTATTGTTTACAGAATCATTCTTATTTCTTATTGGATTATTAATATTATTAATATTTTTGTTACTGTCAGAAGTAACATTAGTAGAAGAGTAATTAGAAGTAGAAGAAGTATTTTGTTCGGCCTCATTTTTAATCAAGTTTTTCAATTCTTCTAAAAATACAGTTGAAAAGTTATCTCGAGTAAAATATTCATTTCGAAGGAGAGCAGATGATGTAGGCCTATCGTTTGCATCAATTCGAAGGCAAATCTAAATGAAATACAAAACGTAGGGAGAAAATGCAAAAGGTTGATATCATATATATAATTATATCGTCGAGGGAAACACTTATAAGCAGAAAGAGATCAGTCGTTAAAGTAGTCGTTATAGAATGTTGAACAGCTGATCGGTTGTAATATGTCGTAAATATGAGTAGTAACAGTAAAATAAGAACACTTAAAAAAATTTAATGGATTATGCCCATTCATTTAGAGTGGATGATAAAGAAATACAATAAAAAGGTAAAAAGCAATCAAATTGAAAAAATTTATTTCTTAACACGAAAAGATGTAATAACGTATGACGTTGAAAACAGTATTAAGTTTTGACTGTTAAGATTTGTAAAGCAATAGAAATATGTAGTGGTATTTTAATATTACTAAAACATCATTCTAAACTCTCAGGTAGTGCAGAGTGTCGCTTCATAACACAGTATTACGTACATGTGGATTTGTGAGAATATGACGGCAGAAGCGTACTGGAATAGACCTCTGACTGATTTTGATTCGGTCTTATTCATTTAGTGAGATGTCCGCTTGTGATTTTAACTAAGACTGTTACGTTTATTAAACACAGTTAACAAACTTTTCATGTAGCCACAACAGAACAGTAAAACACTGTTTTTGTCAGTATGCCTCATGAAAGATTAATTTAGGTATGAATAGTTCATCCTGCAAGTAATTCGGCTGTCAAGTTACACTTAGTAAAAACAGACCCAGAACATGATATGTTAGCATTACAATACAAGGTATCCACCTTATACAGATGAAATTTATAATACTTTAAAATATATCCACTCACAATTTGAGTCAATTAATATCATGCTATTCAGATTTTCATAACACAACCATTTGAAATTAAATGAAACTATTCATGCTAACTCGATAACATACCATAGTAAAGTTCAGTAAATTAAATTTTACGAAAATACGTTTATATTTCACATCCTTTTAAAATTAGGACAAGAAACGACACAATGTTCAGCGGTATCTTGTCTTAGTGATTTAATGCAGTGGATTTCTTTAGAATGTTACTATACCTCATAACACACCACATGCACCTTGTGTAACTGTGTCATATTGTTTATGTGTCAAATGACATTTTGCCGTATGCTTTTAAACTGTGATAGTTATCAGAATTGAAGAACACCACTTCTGTCACATTTACTGGTCAACCTTCATTTTAACCAAATGATATACGTGAACTTGTTTTAAAATTTTCATTAAAAATATAAAATAGTTAATACACTTGTCATTTAGTAAAATTTTATTTATATTCACTTTTATAAATCCAAGAGTTAATTTGGAAACCTTAGCTAATCTTTTATCCAACGGATCAATTTCCCTTGCCAGTGGGACTCTCATACCAACAAAGAGAGGATTACGCTGAAATATATTTTGATACTTTTCGCTCAGATTACCTATAAAGAAAATAAAAAGAGATTGATAGAAAAAAAGTGGTCAATGTAGGAATGTTGATCAGCTTCAATCATTCTTGTATTCATTTATGCACTATGATATTTAGATTTTGCATTGTTGAGTGAACAGTTCCAAATTAGACTAAACGAATGAATAAAAAAATTATACCAGCATATTGTTTTTACAGTCATTAGATAATCTAAAATGAAGGCTAAATATGAAGTTTAAAGAATGATAGAGAAATGGAAATTTATTTTTGTTTAAGTTTTTTAACAAAAAATTGTTTACCAAGCTATCCATGGGAAGTCATCGTGCATAAATGTACGAACTTACGTCGTATCAAAAAGCATAGATTCCACTCCCATATTCTTTTAATTACCACAAACTATATTCAAAAAGCTAAAAGCAATCGAAATTTCGTCAGATTAGTTCCGTGAGAGATGGTGGAAAGGATTTTCATTATTAATTACTAAACTTCTGTTCCACGTCTTTTCAATACATTCTGCTACCACTTTTCTTGGTTTTAGGACCTATTTATGTGAATAAATAGTGCTTCCTATGGCAAATTATTTTGTCTTCCATTGTTAAAACACGACAAGAAAGTTAAAACTTTACCAATATTTTAGCTTTTCGACTTAGAATATTTCGGCTGCGACTGAGAAACGTTTATGTTTCCGCAATGAACCGTTTTTACTTGTTCATTTTTCGCCTCAAAATCTTTAATCATTGGTTGATAACATTTGATTCTTAGTGACATTTTTCGCAAACATTTTATGAACACTTAGTTGTTCAGCAATGGTAATAATTCATGAAAGGTACTTTTGGCAGAACAGTGCTATCTTCTCTCATATTAAACTACGCACACGGTTATTTTAGACTACAACGCTTTCATAAGGGGTAAATGTCAATAAAGGATATATATATATGTTAACTAAATGACTGTTACAATACAAAAGAAAAGTAGACCTTTGTGAAGTGGTATTTCCTCTCTATCCACCGTTTGCTGATGTGATTTCAACGAGCACTCACCTTTCCCTTTGGAAAGTTAACAGAATGAAACATTAGTTTGAAGCGGAACTGATTAAAGATTGGTGTATTTCTATGTAAAATCCCATTCTGCTCTCTCTGTCTCTTTTTCAGTACCCACTAAAACAATAAAATCATTTTATATGTTGTGATCGCATTCCACTACATTACAGTGTAACTATCAGGAGTTAAAGATATGTTTTGAACTCCATTTTTAAAGTACCTGGCTTATGAAAACAATTTCTATAGTTTATTTTAAGCATCAAATTGAAGTTGGAGATCATTTCAGCAGTCAACTGGCAATCTGTCTTTTACTCTAATGAGATACTTCTAAACAAATCCATAATTTTAAACAGACATTTGGATTTAATTAGGAAAATACTATGGCCACCTATTTTAAAATTTTTATCTATTCAAATAAGTTTTGTAGTGTGATTTTATCTCCCTTTAGATCACTGTTTTATCAGCAAAACTATGACGACAGTATCTTAATCTACCATGCTTTCTCCTTTTCTGTAACTCATTTCTAGACCGTTTCTTCAACTGTTGCAAAATTATACTGTGACTTGTTTCTACTGTTTTGTAAACATATATGTAAATGTTTAACAAACACTTTTCTGTGTAAAGTTTTATTAACTTTAGAAGTGATTTCCTGCTAAAGATATTTATCGAGATTTTTACCAAAGTTATTTCTACGAGTTTTATCATATATATATATATATATCATATATCCATCTATTCAATAAATGGAATATAAGCTTTTTACCCCTGAATTATGATGAGATAACCCCTGAATCCAATGCACTGAATATTTGGTTGCCATCAGAATTATGGTCTAAAACTAGTATCAACCGATGAAAGTTTATCAGGAGGTCTCATAAAGAAGATATGGAAGACTCAAGCTAAAATCTTTTGCTTACAGATCACAATGACTTCCCCGATAGGATTTTCGCTTTATATCCTCCCCTGTACTGTTTGCAGTTTGAGCAATGTTGCCTGTTGAGGCGAATGAAAAAGACGAATTCCTTAAGATATTTCTTGTTCATAGTGGTTGTCTGATATTTCCACCACGTCTGTCTTCTGTATGTCTACACAAAGTTCAGCCTCCTCTACCTCTTCTGACATCTTGTAATCTTTCGCTTGTTTATCTTCGAGTTTACGCGATATGAGACATGAATCATCCATGAAATATAGATATTCTAGCCTCCTCAGATTACCTCAACATATCCCCATCTTTTCATTCTCCACATTCTGTCGTGTGATCTGCTCCTTTGAAATCAGGAAGATCATTCGTGGTGGTATCCAGCCTTTTCTTATTCCATTCCTCACTTCAACGCTTTTCTGAGTTTGGAACATGATTATGTAGCTACTTGATGAGTTTTATAGATGTTTGTGGCTCTGTATTCTGTAATGTTGAAAACTTTTTCAAACTAATTCATGGCAAGCACTGTCGAAGCCTTTTCAGAGTTGACAGAATTGAGGTACAGAGTTCACCAACATTCTAGTTGGCATTCAGTAATGATGCACAGTGTTGTGATTTCGTCCGCGAATAATTTGTTTCTCCTGAATCAGGACTCTTCATCGACTTATTCTCCCATCCAATGTGTCTCTTAGTCTTTTCAGGATGATGCGGCTTAATATTTTGCGTGGATTTGAGCGAGTACTAAGGTCCCTGAACCAATTTTCCGTGCTTCTTGGAAGGCTCCATTTGGTCCTGCTACTTGCCCAGCCTTTCGTGACTCTATGCTCTTCAGAACCTTCGCTTTTTCAGAGGGTTGGTGTTCACCAGTAGCTCTATAAATGTTGTCGCAATCTGGACGAGTCGCAGCTATAGGTCGATAGAAGAGTTATTTAAAGTAATTGGCCCAGTGTTCCCTTTCTTCCTCCTCTTTAGTAACTGCGTTTCTTCTACTACCTTGCACTGGCTTCATTTATATTGACCCCTTCCTGGATACCTCCTGGTTATCTGATACAGTGTTGTGGGGTCCCTCATACATGCAAACTATTCTGCTTCAGTTACCAGAGTGTCATCGGAGAGTCTTTAATTTTTACTCAATACTTTTCTGGACTCCTTTGTTCTGTGTTGTAAATTATACTCACAGTCTGTTTTAGTTGTTCATAGTTGCCCTCGTTCATATTGTTCATAGCCTCTTTTCAACTATCAGTTTTCAGATGTCCATAATGAGCCATTGCTTGTCATGCCACTTCTTTCCTATGATATCTACACATCTTTTCTTCCACGTCACCTTTAGGTAGTTCTAGTGTTCTTCCACGTAGATACCCTCACTGGTGTTGCTCACTACCCCAATCTCTCCGTTTTGACTGATATGAAGTCTTTTGTTACTTCGTCCTGCAGATTTTGATTACTAAATTAGAATTTCGGCCCACCTCCGACTTCTTTTGCGGCTTTCAAATTGATCCTGAAAGTTTCTTGCACTAGATAACGGTCACAGCCTACATCTGCTTCTCTTCTATATCTTGTTTCCAGCAGGATGCCTCCATGCTTTCTTGAGATTCAAGTGAAGTATCTGTGATTTTTAGTGTGAACATCTTGTGAAACCTACGTCTTTTTGTGCATTTCTGTGTGCCTGTGCAAATTGCCTGCAATCACCAAATTAATGAAGGTTCAGAAGTTTGTGAATAGATCTCCATTCTCACTGATTCATTGATTCTTTCCGTGTTGTTTGCTCTTAGTTTGGCCTGCATTCATATCATCTGTTTAGATTTATGTGTGACTAACTGGTTGGGGTCTTGTCCATTACTGCTTGCAATTGTCTGTGTAAGTTTCCCTTCTTCACTTGTTCTTAAGATCAACTCACTTATATATGAAAATAATAGTCCATCAACGACATTGGGCAAATTAAGATAAACAGAATAATAGGTCCCAACCGCGTAGAAAAATAACAAATCACCAAAACTAGTAACGCTATTGCATTTAGGGAATAGATGTGTACTGTTTAAATGTCTTAAACTGAAATTCAGCTGTTGTTTTCAACGGTCACATCAAAGGAATTTACTACTTTAATTAATTAAATAAATTATTATTAGACAGGCGGAATAATTAACAACCTAACAGTTATTATTATTATTCCTATTAATATACACATATTTATTATTCTAACTGGTTTTTATCATTCTATTAAGTAAAATATGAATTCAATATTGGATACAACAGTTTACTGGTGACTGTTTCCAATATATTCATTCAATAGATTTAAAATAGAAATATATTTAAGCATATAAACAGCATTTGTAGAGGAAATGAATAAACGGAAATCTATGAAAATAATCAGCAATCACTGGTCCATTTAACAAAATGTCATTAAATTATAATCTAGATATAATTTAGTGCTACTTTTTAGTTATCCATTGAAAAATATAACCACTAGTTGCTCTATAGATTTTATTCATATTCTCGATATATGCAGTTGAAATGAACGAAAACACCTTTTCAAGTGTTCATATGTAAGTCCGGTGGTAAAACAATAGATTGAAAATGCTGAGAAGCATACACTTCAAATAATGACACGTAGGGTTTTTTAACATTCAGTCACCCAATACAAGTTGAGGGGACGAATGGGAGTGCAGTTTGCTAGCCACATCTGTCTCAGTCTGTTTAATTTTTTCTCACACTACCTTTCGTCAATTTATTTAATTTTTGTTGACAAATCAAAATTAATAATATCAAATTCAGAGATGAATTTTAAAAGTATTTTGAACGAAAGTTGTATTCATATCCCTTATATTGGCGTCTATCTGGTTACGACAGCAAAAACTGTGAATTGATATTAAAGTTAAGAATAAATGGTATAGGAAAGCTACTGTCATGTAGTTAATATAGTTGTAAATATTTTTCTTGTCACTTTTGTTAGGTGATGAAAAGAATTCGATCACTACAAGATACCTTTAGATTATATTAAACAAATTTCTCACTAATCAAAGTGTATTTTGTTTTCAATTATCGTGGGATGTTTAG